GATCTGTTCCAGTAATTTTTTTATTATTTTTGGTAGAATATTGATTGCTTGTGATATTAATGCTATAGTTCAATAATTTTCACACTCTGTTGGGTCACCTTTTTTTTTGGAATGGGAACAAATATAGATCTCCTCTAGTCAGTTTTCCAGGTAGTTGTCCTCCAGATTTCTTGGCACACCTTGGTGAGAACATCCAGGGTATCACCTGTTTGTTGAAGTATGTCAGTTTGGTATGCCATCAATTCCTGGGGCCTTGTTTTCTGCCAATTCTTTCAGAGCAGCTTGAACTTCCTTCATCACCATGGGTTCCTGCTTATGTATTGTTTCATGAAATTCTTCTGTGTCTGTCAATTCCTTTTGGTACAATGACTCTGTATACTCTTTCCATCTTCTTTTAATGCTTCCTGGATCATTTCATATTCTTGCCAAAAGCATCTTTATGTATTGCAACTCGAGACTTGAATTTGTTGTTCAGTTCCTTTGGCTTAAGGAATGCTGAACAAGTTCAGGCCCTTTGAGTTTCTGACTCAAAGTTCTTTGCACATTTCATTATTTTACTTTATCTTCCTGACCTGCCCTTTAAAATCGTGTCCAGCTTCTTAATGTCTTAATTTCTTCCCTTTGCTTTGGATTCTTGGTGTTCTAGTGCAATATTCAGAGTCCTTTCTGACATCCACCTTGGTCTTTTTCCCCTCCTCTTTGTAATGACTCTATATTCTTCCTGGATGATGTTCTTTATATCTTCCCACAGCTCATCTGGTCTTCGCTCAATAGTTATGTAAGGCCTCAAACCTATTCCTGAGATGTTTTTGAAATTCAGGTGAGATAGACTCAAGGTCAAATTTTTGTTCCCATGGTTTTAATTTTCCTTAACTTCAGCTTCAACTTGCATGTGAGTAGTTGGTCTGTTCCACAATCAGCACCTGGCCTAGTTTTCACAGCTGATATTGGGCTTCTCCAGTGATCCTTCCCACAGATGTAATCAATCTGAATTCCTCTGCATACCATCAGGTGAAATCCATGTGTATAGCCTGCATTTACGTTTCTTATAAAAAGTATTTTCAATGAATGTATCATTGATTGTATAAAATTCTATCATTCTATCTCCAACTTCATTTCTTTCTCCAAGTCTATGTTTTCCCCAACTGTTGATCCTTCTTTTCTGTTCCCAACTTTTGCATTCCAGTCACCCATTATTATTAATGCATCTTCGTTGCATGTTCAGTCACTTTCTGACTGGAAATGGTAGAAATCTATTTACTCCTCTTTGGATCTAGTTGTTGACGCATATTTGAATGATAGTTATCACTGGACTTCCTTGTATGTGTATAGATATTATCCTGTTACAACATTATATTTGAAGACAAATATAGAAATGACTTTTTTAAACTGAGAATGTGACCCCATTTTTCTTCACCGATTCATCTCCAGCATAGTAGAACATACAGTTGACTTGAAAGGTCCCATGTAGTCCATCTCATTTTGTCAATACATAGTACATCAGTATTTACATGTTCCATTTCTTTCTTAACAATGTCCAATTTTCCTACATTCATGGTTCTTACGTTTCATGTTCCAGTTGCTAGTGTCTACTTACAACTGTTCTCCTCCTTTGTGTTTTCATACTTGAGGGCTTAGCCTCATTTGCCATATCTGCTAGTTTAAGTGTGTTCTATTGTTCACAGAATTTTCAAAGGTCTGCTATTTTTGGAAGTGGATGGCCACAACCTTAAGTAGGCATCTGTAGGTGGGATGAGGGAAGAGAATGGGACTATGCCTTCAAGGACTTTGCATTCTTATTGTGGAAGTGGAATTTATGCAACCAGGATCATATTCCTAGTTCCTTTTGCCTTGCTAAAATCAAGTTCTTTCCTATGGCTCTCACCTTGAAGAAAAAGTTTACATAGGGCTGGTATGATGCACAACATGTATCATGTTAGTCTGCTTACTGACAACTCAGTGGTTCAAATCCACCAGTCAGTCTATCATAAAAAGATGGAGAGTCACCTTCCTTCAAGATTTTTAATCTCAGAAACCCAATGAAGGGTTGCTTTAAGTCAGTATCAACCCAACAGCAATGAGTTTGAAATGGGGTTTTGTGTGACCAGATCAAAGGGTTTCTGGGAGAGAGAAGAGGGGACAACACTCAGTGTTTGCATGCAAGATCTCATTTGCTCTTCACATAAGAAATGTGACCCTCCCTGTTGTGTGGTAAAGTAATGGGAGATAATGTCACCATCTAGTTCATGATAGCGGGTAGAGAATGCAAACTGTGAATGAGGTCATTAAAAAAGACACAAGAAGATCTAGCACCTTAAATTATCAGTAAATTTTGCTTCTGATTTGTAGTTTAGTTGCCTAAACCACAGACATAGGGAAAAGCAGAATTAGATTCCTTCACACTTTGGTCACTGAGATCCAAAAATCCATGCTCTCCATTAGTTTCTTCCAGGAGTCATTTGGTGCCCACTTCCCTCCTGCTCCTCGTTTTGTCTCTAGTCCCTTTCAGGTTCATGTTAGAGGGATTTTTCTTCACACTCTTACTGGTCGTTACTGGTTTCATACTGGCCTTCCAATATAAGTAGAGGAGGGTAAGGAGCAAGACCAGGAGCACAACAAAGGGGCAGATGAACAGGAAGAGGATCAGAGGTCCTGAGGAGCAAAATCTGGAACAGAACATGATCTCTACGATGAAAAGAGAAGAAAAAAAGAGTAACAGAAAAGAATTTATTAACTACCTATTTACACCAATCAATGATAGACATTTTGGGATTTATTACTATAAGCCAATATACATGGGGGGAAAATACTGGGGTCAAATAGCAGTAAGTCCCTTTGATCATGTGAAGGAAGCAGAGGAAATAGTGCTGAGAGGAAAGATTTCACTCATTCCAGCAACGGTGTTCTCCCCTGTGCCCAGCAATTTCCAACCACTGGAGGTTCCAATGACCTACTTATAACTAACAGCCAGGAAGAAAAACAAAACAAAAAAAACCCCTCTTCTCTCCTTTAATCTTCTTTCCTCAGAAAAGATATCTATAATTCAACCCTCATTCTCAACCATGTTGCCAGTCCTGAATTTTTAACTGTGTTATTCCCTCTGCTGCTTCTAAAAAGGAAAACCATAAATCCACTGCACTGTCTATAACACAAGTGCAGCTAAAGTGGGGCACCTTCCTGTTCTGACCCCAACCTTCCTCTCCACATTGATCTGCTTCTCAGTCACCCTCCATTCTGCTTGTTGTTTGTTGCTCTTGCTGTTGCCAGCACCCTGATCCTCCGCATCTTTGGGGCCTAGCTCACATTGCACTTCCTCTCCAAAATTTTCCTCCTGAACCTCAAGCCTTCTTCTCTTCCACTTCCCACACAGTCTTTATTTAGAACTCCTTCCTACTACTTAGCCTTTGCCCCTGTTTTATTATAGTTACTTGCCTGGTTTTGATAGTACCATTTGTTTCTCACTTCCCTACAGTGCCTAGCATATGTGCTTCCTGACTGTGGCTGATTTTGGCTGCCTGTGGCTCCCACATGGGCTTGAGATGCCTAATAAAAAGGCATGTTGAAGCATATAGGCTCCACCAGTATCTACCATCCACTGTCAGCATATAGTCACGTGGAGCTCACACATGCAACCCTGGCCACACAGTCAGGAAAACAAAGGGTCACAGCACAGGTTCCAGGAAATAATGTCCTAACCCATATGTATATATGGGTGTGAGTGAGAATATGTCTACATGTGTATTTGTATGTGAAGTGAATACATCCAAGGAAATGGTGGCATAAAGGGGCAAAGACCTGGAAACCTTCTAATAGTATTCAGACACTTTGATAGAATGACCCACTGGGCTTGGTGTCTCTGCGGACAACCAGGTTAACTGGTATAATGATTCACAAAGAGTGTTCTATAACTTTCTTCAGTGAATAGTGACTGGGACCTTAAAAGATTTTGGGCAGCCATCTAAGATGCAACTATTGATTTTCTTCATTTGGAGCAAGGAAGAGTGAATATAAACTAAGACTGAAAGTTTAAATTAGTCCAGAGGATTATGGACTACATGAACTACACCCTCCAATACCCAGGGTCCTTATATAGGATGCCTGACTACTGTTACAGAGAGCTCTGATAAGGATCACAATCTAAAAATTGGATAGACAGACAGGGATAAAATTAAAAAAAAAATTAGAACAAAATTAAAAAAACATTTTTAAAAAAATCAGACTTACTATTCTGAGAGACATTTCAAGCCTGAAATGGAGTCCACCCTCAAGGACCAAATTAAGCCAAACAGTAAACAAGCCCATAAAGCGAATGAATGCACTTTCAATACAAACAACAAAAAAAACCCAAAAGGGCAGAATTTGCCCAAATGTGAAGCTCAGAAGGTAGAGAGGGTAAGGAGAGTTGGGTGAATGGAAACCAGTGGGAAGAATGCTGTTACACTGAGGGAGTTTCAACAAATGTCCCAAAACAAAATGTGTATAGATTATAGAATGGGAAACTAATATGCTCTGTAAATTTTTATCCACACTACAATGAAAAAGAAGGAAATAGTGAATTATAGGTTTGGGGTTAAAATGGCTGCAGAAAGACAAGCACAGAAGGAACATCAGTGATTACATGCAATCATCCCACTTCATTTGTTGAAAGCAGGTTGCTTACAATGAAGGTTTCTCTGAGAACTCTGATGCTCATAGTAAAAACCAACTAACGCAGTCGGTTCCGACACATAGGACCTTCACGTGTATTGCTGTGGAACTGTCCTCCACAGGATTCTCGAAGACTCATGTTTCTGAAATGGATCACCAGGTCTTTCTTCTCAGGCACCTCTAGGTGGACTGAAACTTACAACTTTTGGATTAACAGCTGAGAACTTACCTATTTTTTTACTACTCAATTAAGCTGCAAGACAACTCTAATTCACAATGATCCCATGAGTTCACAGCAAACTATGTTTCATAGGGTTTTATGGCTATGCTTTTGGAAGTAGATCATGAGACCATTCATGTGAGGTCCCTCTGAGTGGGCTCAAACTTCCCTTTAGGTTATCAGCAAAGCATAATAATTTTTTTTTTGCTATTTACATTGCCCAAGGACATGCTAATAATAGTTTTGCTTTTATTGGAAATTATCATAAGAATTTCTTCTTCAAAAATTAAATTACAGGATTTGTAGGATTATAGACTTTTAGAGATAAAGTTAATGTTAGATGGATCTTAGCTGAAAACAGGGAATACCAGAAGAGTGTCTATCTATGTTTCATTGATTATGCAAAGGCGTTTGACTGTGCGGATCATAACAAATTGTGGCTGACTCTGAGAAGAATGGGAATTCCAGAACACTTGATCGTGCTAATGAGAAACCTATACTTGGACCAAGAAGCAGTTGTCAGAACAGAGCAAGGGAAAACTGCATGGTTCAAAAGTGGGAAGGGTGTATGCCAGAGATGTGTCCTGTCTCCATACCTTTTCAACCTGTATGCAGAACAGATTATCTGGGAGGCTGGGCTCTATGAGGAAAAATGTGGGGTCAAGATTGGTAGAAGATCTATCAATAATCTGCATTATGCAGATGACACAACCCTACTTGCTGAAACTGAGGAGGACCTGAAGCACCTGCTGCAGAGGGTCAAAGACTGCAGCCTTCAATATGGATTGAGGCTCAATGTCAAGAAGACAAAGATTCTCACCACTGGACCAATTGGCAGCATCAGGATGGATGGTGAAGAGATTGAGATTGTTAACAGCTTTAGTTTGCTTGGCTCCACAGTCAACACTCTTGGCACCAGTAGCCAGGAAATTAAAAGACATATTGCCGTGGCAAAGTCTGCTGTTAGGGACCTCTCCAAAGTACTGAAGAGCAATGGTGTCACTCTGGAGACTAAGGTGCATCTGATAGAGGCCATGGTCTTTGCAATCACTTGTTATGCATCAGAGAGTTGGACAATGGCTAGGGAGAATAGAAGGAGAATTGATGCCTTTGAGCTATGGTGCTGGAGAAGAGTATTGAGTTTACCATGGATGCTAAGAAAACAAGCTGATTCATCCTGGAGAGGTTTAAACTGGGCTGCTTCTTGCAGGCAAGGATTCTGAGGCTTCGTCTGACATACTTTGGACATGTTGTAAGGAGGGACCGGTCCTTGGAGAGGGACATCATGCTTGAGAGGGTGGAGGGACAGCGCAGGAGGGGAAGAACCTCTATGAGTTGGATTGATTCAGTGATTGGGGTAATGGGGTGTCTTGGAGGCAGTGTGGCACAAGATAGAGCAGGGTTTAGGGCTGTTGTCCATAGGGTCACTATGAGTCGCAAGCGACTCGACAGTACATAACAACAAGAGATGCAGTGGAGTCAGGACTCAGCCCTGTAACTTTTGTTTTCGAGGACTTTAAGATGGAAGGGCGTCTGCAACGGAAAGACATCCCACCGTGGGTGAAAGTCCCCGAAGACTTGAAAGCTCTGGAGATGTTCGAGGTCCCGACGAACCTGCTGACGCTGGTATTTGGCCCAAATGGATCCCGAATCCCCTACCTTGAGCAAGTGAGCCAGACTATGCTCGAGCTGAAGGTTCTGGAATGCTCGAACTTCACCAGGGTGGTGGTCTATAGTCCCGAAGTGTACAAGTTACGGGCCAAGGGGATGTTTCGGTCTCTGACCGAGTGGCACCGCCTTCGACAAGAGCGAGGGATGCAGAGACTTGAAGAAGCCATGAACACCCTGGAATTAGACCTTGGAGTGAGTGAAGGTTTTAGCCACGGTGACTAGACAAGGATGTGTAGTTGCTTGGTTTAAATTCAGCTTTAACTGGGCAGGTTGGAAGAATACAAGGATTTGAAAGCCTCTGATTTTTGCCTCTCATTCATGATGTGAATATTTGTTTTGAAAGCTGCTGATTAAAGGCCTGAATAAATAAAAAATAAAAAAAAACAAGAGATAAAGCAGGGTTATAGATCATTTCAGCCAAACTCCTTTTATAAGCAAGTATTTCACTTTATTTTTTGGCATTGCTGATGCAAATCACAGCTTGAAAACACATTTTTTTTTGATGGAAGCCAAGAAAGAATCTGGACATTTGTGAGAATGTGTGAGCTCTCTGAGAGATAGACCTATGTCTTTATGCATCTTTAAAAAAAAAAAGTGTGTAACATTTGGCCTGTGGGTCCTCAATGGAGATTGGTGAATGAATGAATTGCATGAGTGAATTCCACACACACTGGAACACAGGGGTGGCTTCCATTGTGCTACACAAAATAAAGATCATCATTGAACATGAGGCTGGCAGCTCTGAAGGGAGCTGGCAGAGACCTGCAGGGCATTATTGTCTGGATTTTCTCTGGTCTCATTTGTGTTTTTCATCCTAAATTTGAGTTTTGTGTTTGAAAGAATGAACAATGAAAAGGTTAGATTCTTTCATCCTCTCTCCACATCTGACCTCCATCCTCATGTGTAACAGCTTTACCTGACTTTCCTAATTCTCCCAGGTCTTATCTGAATACATTTGAAGGCATAGTCAGAACTCGGGAGCTCTGTGTCATAGTCTGAAGGGAGTTGTTCTGCTAACCCAAAGTTCCTGCTTCTCTGGCAGTTTTAAGTCACTAGTGGTTCCTTGGGAGAAAGATGGGCAACCTCCCATGCAATTTACACCTTGGAATTCCACTGGTGTGTCACTTCTGACTTCACAACAGTGGAT